TAAAGGAGCAGTATGTTATAAACATGCAGGAAAAAAAATGAAAATTATATCCCATAATCCTTCCCATACAGCACAGAACGTTGCAGCAACATTGCAACATTGTAGTAACATTGCGGCAATGTTATAATGTTGCTGCAACGTTCTGTGCTGTATGGGTTGATTAGATTTTAATATTTTGCTGGGGGATAGTAACGTTTTATACATATTTTGTTTAATAATAATAATATCTATTGTGTATAATGTAAATAAATATCAATTTTCAGTATTAGTAATGTGTATCAGAACATAATTTTTTTATCTCGACCAAATTCATATCACTCATCATGCTATCAGCCGCAAGAAGCTGGAATCTATCTCATTTAGATTCCTGCGCAATGATTTCTGCGCAGACGATCGATGCTCGATGCTGCCATGTAACGGCACCTTTAAGCGTCGAGCGTCTGCGTAGAAAATTGCGCAGAATCTAATTTCAGCCTAGAATCTATCTCTTTTAAATTCTGCGCATTTTTCTGCGCAGACGCTCGACGCTTGAAGGTACCTTTACATGGCACCTTAAGGCTGCCATGTAAAGGTTAATGGCACCCTTAGAATTTCAACCATACGGAATTTTCAGCGTAGCTTACGTTTCAATATGGCTGCCTTACTGTTCGACCGTGATTGGTCAATTCGCTTATGTCTTAAGTCTTACTGCTTAAGTTTTTTTATGTGCCACGGCTCTAAGGCCGGTATTCATAGTCGGACCAATGAAATTATAAATTTTTTATTAAATTCGCTCATTTTTGTAATTTTCACCTTTACTTGAATTACAGAATCGATACCCTAAACTTGTATGTAATCTTAAACTTCAGTCAACGCACAAACAAAATCGTAACGTAGTATGCTTTTGTTACGTTACGATTTTCTCTATGCGTTGACTGAAGTTTAAGATTACGTACGAGTTTAGTTTTAGAATCAGTACTTAACGTAACGTAATGCATTACGGAAAAGCTTGTGCGGTGGCCCTAAGACGGTCTTGAGATAAGAACCGACTATGAATACGGGCCATATATCTAGACCCCTATCGCATTAAAAAAGTTTGGTAATTTCCCGTTTTTTGACAAAATCGTAAACAAATTTTTGACCTTTTTTTAACCCCCTCACTTTGACTTTTGGAAATTTTTTTTTACCAATCGTTCAATGGTTGATTGCTAATGTTTGGTATTGCATCCAAACCGTTTGGTAGTTTCCCGTTTATTTAAAAAAAAATCGTAAACAAATTTTTAACTTTTTCTTAGACCCTCCCCCCCCTCCCATTTCGACTGCTGGGAATTTTTTTTCACCACTCGTTTGGTGATTGATTGATAACGTTTGCTACCGCATTCAAAATGTTTTTTTGTATAGCTAACTATTTTACATATACAGCCAGATTTTGCAATTCGGCTCTTAAAAATTTATAATAAGGCCCGTTCTACAATAAGCCGTATGTCGTTAGTCGTAAGCAAATTGACCAATCATAATCAAATATTCTCGGAATAATCGACTGTCATTGGTTAATTTGTGACTTACAACCGTAATCCCAATCGCCCACAATCCGTAATGTAATACGGCCTTAATACAATCTTAAGTAAGCGCTTTCTCTGTTAGGGTGCCATTACATGAAGCGCGGAAACGCGGATTAGCATAACGCGGAACGAGAAGGGAACCAATCGCGAGCGTAACAAAAACTGCAGAATGCTCGCGATTGGTTTTACTCTCGTTCCGCGTTACGCTAATCCGCGTTTCCGCGCTCCATGTAATGGCACCCTTA